TAACAAAATTATTAGTTACACAACAAAAGACTGAGATGGGTAGTTACGTGTTTCTCAGAGGTTTAGAAAGTTTAATAGATTATAGTGAAATGGTTAGCATTTTGTAGCATCTTCATGTCATTCTTTCCTACAGTAGGTTTTAATACAAAGAAGTTGAGGCAGAGGTTATTAGGGGTTTACTTGTATAGCACTGTTTCTTTAGTTTAACTTTAAAACACTTAAAGTAGTTTAAATTCAGTGGTACAGTAGTCTCTTAATGTTTTTCTTTAAAACTGATATTTTTATGCTGGTAATTGCTTCTTTGCTTTCTTTTAATTCCATTAGTGGTAAATACAGAAAGAAAAATAAAAAAAATGTGAATAATAGTATCATGATCATGGAGTAAAAAGTAGATGAAACAATGCATGAGATTTTCAAATTCAAATAATTGTAATTATATTGCTTAAAAATAGCTCTTTGGTTGTTCTTAGAAAGGTGGTATAAATTGCTTTTAATTTAATTTTAAGTGAATAAATTCTGCTTTTTATAAATTTTAACAGAAATGTTTCACATTTAGGAATTGCAAGAATTATAACAAATTGTTGGAAAGTATGTTGGAATGCCATGCAACTGTTGGTTGTTTTACTCCTGTACTTGGTGATAGAAGGTAGTGGTTAATATTCATTTTCAAGGGGTTGTTAATCTTCATTATTTTAACCAAGATCCTGATGGAATTTATAGATGACAGAGTTACTATTTTTACACAATGCCTAAAACTATTTATTTAACAGATTGTCACAACATATATAATTTTTAAATAGTTTTTGGTACATGATAAGATCCTACTATTCTCAAGAATAGTCAACACACTAGGTTTCAAAAGCGGGCAATCAATAGAAGTAATTCTTTAGTCAGTAATCAGCAACATGACAAAGAGGTTTTTCTTTTAGATTCAACAGGAAATTTAGGAATGATATTTTGATGAAGGAGACTTTTCTTATATTTTATCAAAAAAGTAAAACCCAGCAATCAGAGAAAGTTGTTGAAGTTCTGATTGAATAAAAATGTTCCAATAAGCTTTTTAAAATAGTATAAGGATTATACTTTCTTTCAAAAGTTGTTTGTTACCTGTGAACAAAACTTGTAACCTCTGGAATTTTTTATCATGATGAGCTAAGATACAGGGAACAAATGGTAGGTATCAAACTTCATATGCATTTTTTCTCATCCCATAGTAGAATATTATCTATCTTCTGTGTTTTGAGATCCTTCTCTTAAATAATAGTGGGATGCTTAAGTAACAGTATTAGAATAATTCTCAATAGTTCTGTATGTTTTACTTTAATATTTAAATAGACACTGAATATTGTTACTAAGAACAGCAGATCAGTTTCCCCAAATAATTACCTTAAATTGTAGTATGTTGAAATATGTTATTTTGAGAAGAGGCTTAAAATATATTAAATAAATAGAATTTTAAAGTTGTTAGTCTGAATAACAACTAAACAATAATAAACCCAATATGGAAATCTTCTGAGCTATAATATCTTCGGATATTAAGTTGTAAGGACTATGTTCATGGACAAGCTGTAATAATGTCTATATTATGTGAATATAATATCATATGAATTGGTTGCCATGCTGAAAATTAACATAACTAGATGAGAGAAAAAGATGGTGGGCTATATGGGACATACATGTCTCCCGATTAGAGGAGGATGGAAACTAGTATTCACTGTGATGCCTTTCATCTGTTCAAATCTGTGCATATGCATGCAAACACACAGACACACAAATAAATTTCTTTTGGGAAAACTATGGAGCCTTAATATTTCTGAGTTCTGTTCTTTGTCGACTACTTCATGCTTAGTAAATCTTGTTGTTAATAATTCAGCAACTTTTTATGATCGTCTGTTAGTTCTGAAACAGGAAGTTTTAAAATGAGTTTTCTTCTGAATATGCTGCCTTTTAGAAATGTATTAACAAAAATGCTTGATAGAAATCAATTAGCTTTTCTTAAAACCCAGATACTTTTGTTGATCTGATTCACAAATAGCTAGTGGATAACAATATCTTGTGCTTTCTAGAAGCCTTAATATGGTTTCTTGATATTTTAAAGATACAAACTTGGCTACAACCTGGCTACTTTTCATTAATGTCTTTAATATTTTGAGTGGACTAGCTTATACATTGTACTTTAATTGGAAATCTGGTTTTAAAAAAGCCACAGCTAAGACTAATCTGTCACCTCCTGGCAGCTGTTCATTAATTTGTATTTGTGTAGCTTTGGCCGGGTCAGTCTGCTTTGTGTACAAAAGCTAAGCTTTCTTATCTTTTTCTAAAGAAATGCCTTTCAGATCAGCAGAATTGTGTTTGCCCTGCACTTCGTATTTGTTTTTATCTATTCTTCTGAATTATCCCATGTATAATTCTCATATTCGTCTGATTTATTTTATAAAATTCATGAAATAAAAAATGAAGGTAAAAGAAAAAAACCTTTTAGGTACAAGCAATATCTTATTCTTAAATGAAAAAATCTGCCATTAGTTTAGAATGATCTGTGCTTTAAAATAATGCTTCTTTAAATGGATACAATACATGGAAGCCTTATTCTGATGGAATTTGAGCAAGCAGTGCTTTTCTTGTTATAAATATTTAGTATAATTCTTATTCAGTGACTCCTTCCACCTTCCTTCAGTGTCTCAGTATTTCTATTTAATAACTGATTGGATTGATGGCAACTGATATGCTCAAATCAGAGTACTTATATGATACTGCAAATAATATATGTTCGTTATATTTGGTGGTTTGTAATTTGTAACCCCAGTACGTACTGAGGATGAAAATTCTACAGGTAATCTTTGATTTAAACAACTGCATGTTTAGTGACCGTTCAAAATTACAGCAATTGAAAAACGTGATTTTCAACCATTCTTCACACTTATGACCATCACAGTATCCCTGCAGTTATTCATCCAAATTTGGGCACTCAGAAATCAGCGTGTATTTACAATGATTGCAGCATCTTGGGGTCATGTGATTTCCATTTGTATCCTTCCCAACCAGCTTCCAACAAGCAAAGTCAGCAGGGAAATCAGAAACATACCATGATATCAGGGGTTTTCTCAAGCTCTTTGAAACAGTGAATAATATTCTTGCAAAATCCTTTATAATTAGAAGAGGAATTAGCGTTCAGAAATCTCAGCAATTGAATACTTTCACTTTAGCACCCAATTTATTTTTAAGTTATTAGGGCAGGAACTTCTTCATTCTCGCAGTAAAAACTATTTGAAGAACAAGAGAATTGACTAATGGTTTTTCCTAATACTGGAGGAATGTGCAGGTGTTCTGAATTTTGCAAATCATTATTTACTTTCTAAGGTTCTGAATAGTCTCTGATAGATACATTTGACAGAATATACTGTAGCATTTTAATAAGCAAACTAATTAATTAAATGTGAACTGGTAACAGTTAAATAGTTACATAGTAGCTGACTGAAACAAGTGAAATTTCAAGAAGGATACTACAAAATTAAATCTTTGATACACCTTAACATTTATATCTCTTATTGGGATTATGAAGTGTAGTAAATGCTTATCAAATTTGCCACTAACATAACTTTAGGTGAGATAGTAATATCAGAGAATGGTAATTAAATTCAAGCTGATAGCATAGAGTAAAATGTTGAAAATAACAGTGAAAATTGACAGAAAGATGCAAAATTATTTACTTAGAAAGCAAATCAAGTGCATAGAATAGGTAAAATCTGATTTGAATTGCTTACTCTGAGGAGGGAGTTGGATGCAGTGGTCTGAACGGTCTTTCAGTTGCATGGTTATATGAAAAACTAATTTCATGTTTGTTTCAGTTACTATTATATGAGGGCAATTTGGAAATAAACCTCTGGTTATCAATGACAGACACTCGCAGATACAGAACTTTTATTATATACATTAGAAAACTACATTACATTATTTTTTGACATAATCGCCATTCAAATTGAAGCACTTGTCATAACATCTTACAAGGTTTGAAATTCTTTAGTAGTAGTCGCTGGGCACCAAATCTGGGCTATGGGAGAGGTGATCAAAAACATCCCAACAGAACTGCTTCAAAAGTTCTTGGGTGCATCTAGCAGTACGTGGGCGAGCATTATCATGAACCAACACCACACCAGAAGTCAGCATGCCCTGATGCTTGTTATGGATGACTCGTCTGAGTTTTTGTAATGTTTTACAGTAGACTTCTGAACTGATGGTCAAACCACACTCCAGGAACTTCACCAGCGGTACTACTTTGGCATCTTCACATTTGGCGGGATTTTCTATGGCATTTGTCTGCCATTGATAACCAAACAGAGGTTTATTTCCAAATTGACCTTATACTTTAAAGCTAAGCCTGCCATGTAGATAACTTGTTTTTAATTTTGGAAAGAAAATATTTTGTAATAATAAATAATACATAAATTAGCTAATAATTTATTGTTAAGCTAATAAATTATTGTCATGTGCAATAACTTGTAAATGATGGAAAATAGTACAAAAGAAACACTAATTGTATAAAGTATGTATAATCATTGTAATTATTTTTAGATTTATTTATTTGTTAAATTTATTTGTTGCTTATCTCATCATAGAGCTATTCCAGGTCGCTTACAATAATAAAAAGGAAGAAAAATGAAAAGACCTGTAAATAGAACAGAATATTGAAAACATATCCTTCATTTTCTAATGTTGCTAATATTGCATAATAATATTGCATAGTAATAGCTAATCAGTTGCTAATATTACAACTATTATAGTGATGTTATACTATGTTGTGAAAGGTGTGGTAATACTGATTTTGACCCCATTAAGATAAAAACCAATGACATGAATCTGATTTGCTAGAATCTTTATGCAATCTTCTGTAGTTCAAAGACTATTTAAAAAAAAAACCTTCAGCATATTTTTTTAAATACTTTTCCCATTTTTGGTTGTGTTATCTGCATTCATGAAAATGTTTTTGTTTCTATTTTTAGATTATAGGTTGCCAAATTAAGAGAGAACCAGCAGAAGCAACTCAGCGCTATACTAGGTGGATTAATAATTTAACACATGAACAGCTTCTTACTCAGGTATTTGGATATATTTGTACAATTTGATATTTGCTTTGTCTGCTTTGAACATGGAAACAGGATATTTAAAACCATCTGAAAGTAGGACATAATCCCATTCTGCTCACACATTGTTTCTTTTTGTACATCCCTCTTCAAAATATGCACTGTACATCTCTAGGATAGATTTGGATGAATGGGGTTAGGGAAGAAATAGAAATGAGATAATCTCTTTCTTCCAGATCCACTGATGGAATTCTGTCAGCAGAAAATCTGAGCTTGATTCTGCTTAGAATAATACAAAGGCATGCATACATAAGTAAGTGGATCAAAGCAGCATTTCAGGGAATGAGGAATAGGCAAATATGAATTAAAATTGTTAATAAAAACTATACATACATAAACAGTTTGTTAATTATCTTCTTAACTTTATTTAAAATCATGTGCAACCATAATTAAGATTCTAACATAATTAAAAGTGCATAACTTTGTATTTTATTAGATGTTATGGGAAGCAAATTTGTAGTGGCATAGTTGGTTAAGGAGACATAAGTCTCTCTGAAACCATAATGCTTATTTGTGATTCTTCATCATTTATTCTTCTTTGACTCTGAAATCATTTTTGGATTTTTGTAGCTCATGTTAAGGATGGATGTGGATGGGTGGTAAGGATGGATGTGTGGATGGATGTAACTCATTTTTTGCTATTTTAAATTGCTTTAGGATATGATAATGCAGAATAGAACTGTAGTTGGTAAATTCAAAAAGAGAAAGAGAAAGCAGAGAGAGAGAGAAAGAGAGAGAGAAAGAGACCGTCTTTCTGATTCCTTTTGAGGTTGCTTCCAGTAAGTAGATAGAAGAACTGATGTTTTATTTATCTCAGTGTTACCTTACTGTCTCTAAACTTTTTGTCACCAAAGTCAACCAAAAATCCTATTACAAAAAGTAGTAAAAGCAGAAAAACACCATTACAAACCCTTGCTTTGTACCATTCTCCTTTAGTATTTACAGTATTTAGAAAATTGATTGTCCTCCAACTCACTGACAGTGACTGCGTGTGGCTTACAGAAATAAAACCCCAATACGAAACTCAATTAACCCTTCCTCCCCCCACCAGCAATAAGAATCAACCCAACCTGATGTCTCTTTTGTTACACATTTAACCTGCATAATATTCTGGAAACTTCTATAGCTTCGCTGAAAGATGTTTCACCTAGTAACTGTAATCTACCAAATGTCCTAGGCCCCCCATTTTGAAGAGGAGAGCAATTGCTTATTTTGATCTTAGCTTCTCTTCCTCCTTCCCTCCCTTCTTTTGTCCCTAAAAGAATCCTTGTTTGTAACCTAAATTTCTTTTATTACTTATCTCTATCTCATTTTCTTCCTTGAGGCCTATGGCCCTAAACGTATTATTTTCAAAATGTTCTGACAGTGAGAACAGGCAGGCAGTCAAAACTATTTGTTCAGCCGTAAGTACCAATCCTCTCACCTCTCTACCTCCCTCAGGGGCCATAAAAGCAGCTAACATAACCTTCACTTTCAACTGAAATAGAACTCCTTTCGACTATACTATTGTTATACAGGAAGTATAAGATATTGAAGCACTGAAAGCCTAGTTTGATCCTTTCTCCCCAGGGTAGAAGTTGTTCCCTATCTTGATTACAGTTCCCTCCTTAAGAGCTCCCAGTATTGACCACACCAAATAAATTCTTCTCATCGCAGCCTTGAATATTAATAAAGCATAGATTAAATGCTGAGAAGATAATTAGGAAGACTGACATTGGGTTAATTTCCATGTAGAATTCTTGGTGCTTAAAATCTAGATCATTTGGGAGTTGGGTATCCAGTTTGGAATTGCTGCTGTTGAGATGCTTTTATAAAACAATGATAGGAGTAGGGGTTTCTTTCGTATAGGTAATGACATTATTTGATATCAGGAAAGCATTAATTGTCACAAACAGTCTAAGAACCATTTCCTAGATGGATATCCAGTTTATTCAGGATGATAGCTAGATTACAGCTTCCTTTTTGTCTATTTTATTATTTAATTGTGTAGCTCTTTGATGGATCCCTGTGGAGATTTTCACATCCAGGTCATGGTTGTCCCAAATATTCTTTTTCCAAAAGGCAACTGGATTTTCTTGGTGTTTCTTTTGAAAATGTTTCTCTTATCATTCTGAGAACTGAAGAAACTGCTTGGATGAGAAGTGAAATGATTTCAAAGAAAAAAAGATCAAGAAAGTCCAGTTGCCTTTTGGACACAACAGATTTTTTGTGACTTTGATAGATACCATTCTACAAGTGGAGAATTCAATCTAACTCTGATACTAAGATAGCAATTTCTGATCCACCTGCTTGTGATATATCTTTTATAATATTAAAAATAAGATGACTGTCTGTTAAGGGACAACTTTAATGTTTGATATTTATTTATTAGATTTTGTCCCGCTCGCCTCAAAGGGACTCTTATAGAATGCTTAAGATGTTGTTTAGATCTTTAAAAAATTATTAACCAATTACTAGTTTATAGTAAAATTTTCTCAGTTTATGAATTCTGAATTTACACCAAAGCACTGTATGATACTGTGGTTTTAAAATATTTGGGGCCAACTATCTTCTGTGGCAGATTATATGTTTGTAATCTGCCTTCATTTGCTTATTAATCAGTGGTTATTCTAAAAGTACAGTTTGTTCAGCTACCTCATAGTTTGAGAAGTAATATAATCACCAAGGAGGGGAGGAGGGCCATACATGGCTTCTGTGGTGAGGCAAAATGTTAGCCATGCCTTAGCCCCAAAGGAAATGCAAGTGGTTGTAAGGCATCCGGAATATGAAGAAGGAGGAAGTGGTCTGCTTCAGGCTGCTGCAGAGCTTTTGGGCATTACCCTGTGGATGAACTGGCTTCTCTGATGTGGGCAAGTGCGATCTGATCTTGCAGAAAAACAAGCAGCATGCACGTTTCAAAATCTACTGTCATATGCACTTGGCTAGCAAACAAAGCAAAACGAAATGCCGTGTAGGAGTTGCTGCTTTCTTAAAAAGAGCTTATTGAAACAGAAACTCTGTAAAATGGTTAGCTTTTGTTATTTATGGGGAATTTTCTTCAATTTTTCATGCTAGCCCACATATAAATTACTTCACACTTATAACCAGCACCTGTTATCAGAAGGAAATCATTCATATAAAGCACTTTTGAGATCTATAGGACTGTTAGCTTCAAGGTTGTGTTTCTGCTGGTAGTAGATTAAAGTTTATTTTATGAGGGAATATTTTAGTAGCTACTGTGAAGGAGTAAATGAATGATCCTGCAATGGAATTTAAAAACAAAACAAAAAAAAACCTTAACCACTAACCAATCAATTAATAAAAAAATCCTCATGGTGAAAGTATCCTCCTTTTTGTTTGTTACCAGATTTCCTGCTAATTATTTATGTATCTAAATAGAATTGCTTCTTTTCATTTTCTTTCTTTAAAATAATGCTCCTGCTGATTCAACATGCCAGTGCTTCCAAACTCTTTCCTACGTTACCCGAAACCACTTCTCAGAAAGTCTTTATTTAGATTGTGATTTGATAATGCATTAATGTACAGTTAACCAAGGAAATAACACTTTTACCTAATTTTGGGCGATTTTTAGATTTGGGAAGCACTGCCATATACAGAACATGACTGGACTGAAATGTTCTTTATTCAAAGGAAATAGGCAGTGCCTCCAGGTGTGTCTTTTCCTATACATTTGTCAATTTAATAGTGCTCTCTTATTGGCCAAATGACATTGACTGGTAATTCTTGAAAATGTGTTTTACATTTTAGGTTGCAATGTTTCTGATATGTATGATTTACTGTTATATTTCCATATTTGCAATTGTACTTTTGTGTTGGTTTTTTATTTTCTTTTTGTGTTTTGTTACTGTACTTTGACATGTTCTGTTTTAAAATAATTATGCAGCACAATTACCTACTTCATAGGTAATTTCATAAACATGTGATAAATTATCTACTATTCATTAACTGTAACTGTTCTGAGCCCTTATGGAAAGGGTAGGTTCTAATTTTATACATAAACTAAAGTACTTCTTTCTCTAAATTTTATCTTTAAGTAATATTTACAACTTCCTTAGTATGGTCAGGAAGGCCTGAAATGTTCTATTCTCCATGTCAAAACCATAGCGTAGGCTGCTCTGATAAATGTGTGCCTAGTATGTTGTCATGGGGGAGTGGATTTTTTGGAACACTATGGTCTTTTCTTTTGTCCTATTCATAGCCTTCATAAAATAATCCCTGCTGTTGAAATTTAACAGATTGTACATTCTTTTTTCTTTCTTTCAGACTCATTTGTAGTTTGCAGTATTATTTTTCTTGAATTTAACCTTCAGTACTAGAGACCAGGTGATTTAAAACCAGTGGTAGCTAAATTTAATCTCAGTACAAATGTGAGGACTATATTGTTAATTCTAGTCCTGGCTTAGATATAAAAGCCAGCTGGGTGACTTTGAGTCAGTCACTATCTCTCAGCCCAATGTACCTGACAGGAATATGTTTGAGGGGAAAATAGGAGGTGAAGGAAGGTATAGCCACCTTGAGTTATTTATATAAATAATAAAGGCAGGATATAAAAAAAATAAAATAAAAATTAAATAATTCCCATTGCATCAGTAAAATAGTTCAGTTTTTTTCCTGAATCTATTTTACATAACTCTTTGGTATTTGGTATAACTATATCCTTTACATAAAGATACATTCCTATTATGTTAGCAGTAAAGTCCTTTGAAATGTTCCATCATAGACATCAACATTTTTAGTAATAGCACTACTAGTATTGCTGGTGAGCAACAGCCAGGAGTAATTTACTTAAATTAGGATATCCTAATTAGAGCACTCTTTTTATGGAACATTCTGCAAATGAATAGATGATTCAGTGACAAAGATGATTTTTCTATGCACAGTTGGGGGTTGTTGTATTATCAATCAACAATAAATCAATTGTTTCCATCATATTTTGTCGTAGTTGAAAAAGGACA